TAATTGACCAGGAGCCAGACAACCTCTAGATTGAAGTCAGGCACATCATCAAGAGCAAATGCAAAAAGACAGTAACTTTAGATAAAAGGAAAGAGAAGCCGCAATGGATTAAAAATGAAACACTTCAAGCAGTTAATAACAGACAAGCAGCAAAAGTTAAAGGTAACAGGAATAAAGTCAGAACCCTACATGCATTTGTTTAATGATTTGTGTGCAGATACAATGAGAACTACTCTAATCACCCAGAAAAATAGAGATGACAACAAAAAAGGAAGAACAAGAGATTTCTTATACAAGATCCGAGAAATCAAAGGGAAGTCTAAATCAACAATGGAGATACTTTGTGAATAATCTGAATGTACATTATATGACCAAATAAAATGATGAAGGAAACAATACGTGAAGAACTATATAAAAGATGTGAAATGGTAGCATATTCATTCAAGAAAGAATCATATGAAGTTGTATGTCTAATTTTAGACGCTGAATTGGAAGCTGCACTCAGAGCACTTACGAGAGAAATAGATTGCCAGGCACCAATGACATACCAATAAAACTGCCAAAATTTGTCAAGAAATATGGGAGGAAGAAAGAATGGACCACAGATTGGAAATGCTTAATATACTACATTCTAGATGGATAGACGCAGTTAAGTCTGCAAGACCCGAGCAGTGCTCTTGATGATAGGTTGACTTGGAAGTTTCTCATTCATCGGATCACTATAAAAGTTGAAGTCGACTTGACAGCAGTTAACAACAAGAATTTTGTGCAGTTGATGACTTCATAAATAATCCTTGCACAGTTTTCCTTCTTGTTTATTAAGAAATGGGGATTTGTAATACATTGCAATATTTTCACATTAAATTGTTTCACGTGTTAAAGGTAGTCCTGATTTTAATCATTTTCACAATTGAAATAGTTTGACCACAGTATTTGGTTAGTTAATTACAGTATGTTTTTTTTTATTTTTGAAGAGATAGCCAAGCAAATCTAGTATTTTGAAATTCAGTAACTTTGGGTTAAATGCAGGCTAGTAACAAGGACCCCTGGTGGGGCTGAGGTCTATTGTTTCACTAAGTAGTTGCAGGGCTGTCCAGGTGTCCTGATTTAAAACCTGTTCATTCAGACAGGAAATTGTATCTTGTTCTGAGGTTTACTGTAATAAAGTACATAGTCCTGAGGGATGGTGCTGCTGGGTTCATGAATCACTTTATGGGCAGGCTGCTCTGACCTCAGCCCAATGATTTATTCATGTCATTCTGCAGCAGGAATGGTAGAAATGTAAGCAGCACATGGTCTTGCCCCCTATAGGCCTTTAGCTAGGATTCCCCAAAGCCAGATCTAAAATGTCTTGTGGTATGTATTCAGAGTTTTTAATTAGAGAATCCCCCAACATTCCTGCAACTAGTTCATAGTTTGTAAAGGTGCCTTGTTTTTGAAAATTATGACTTTTAAATAGCAATAGAGCAGAGGAGTCAAACTTGCCCTCCCCCCCAGATGTTTCAGAATCCTACTTCTAAAAGACCTAGCCCACTTGTCCAGTGGCCAGGGATTCTGGAAACTGAAGTCCAAAACCCTGGATGGCTACAAGTTTGACACCAGTGCTCTAGAGAAAAGTTGCAGCAGTTTAGGTGACCTCATTTGACTTGTCTAGTAGTAATAGCCTAACATAGTGTCTGCCATTGTCTTTCATGTAGTTGTACATTGATAATAATAATAATAATAATAATAATAATAATAATAATAATACAGTACTAAAAAAGAGGGAAGGGGATAAAATAAAACTGCAGCTTGTAACATGAAGTTCAGTTTCATCTAATTTGTGGTTATCAAACTCAAGAATAATATTGCCAATATCAAAATGTTTTTTTATAATTTCTATAAGTTCTGACATTAAAATCACTCATTCCTGTAAATATTCAAGTGTTTAATTGTCTTATTCTCAGTTTCAAATACTCAGCATCTTTCCAAATCTGCAAATCTAGTGCTTTTCATCAAGCATTTGTTGTTGACAACAACTATTAATTTCTTGCATCTGTTTTCACTGAAAGCGCTTTCATATCGTTTAACACTATCCCAGAAATAGTGCTTTTCAATGACTGCAATTTCGGCTATAAATAATAAAATGATAAAATATCAAGCAACATGGATGCATGCATGCATACATATACCTCGGTTATTATAAGATCACTAACAGTTTAGGCATGACATAAATCCCCCCCCCCTTTCCAGATGTGTGATGGGAAGTTGCTGACAGTTGTGAGAGAAATAAGATTTAACACTGTGAAAGCCACCCACTGTATGGCTATCAGCCTCCTCCCAGTAGACTTAAATCAAAGAAAAGTTTCTTGAGAACCATCACCCCTTTTAATGTTTCTCCAGCAACAGCAAGAATATCCCTGTGGGCAGAAAAATCATGCAATTCCAACTGGATGGCCTCTTACTATGGTCTTCCTCCAGGGGCAAATCAAGAATGGCCAACTTGGAAGTCCCTGAACAGACTCAGAAGTGGAGTTGGCAGATCAAAAGAAAACCTGGCAAAATGGCACTACTTAGAAAAATCCTCCACCTTGTCAGATTGTGAAGCAGAACAAACAACTCAGCATCTGTGTGCTTGCCCACAATGCCCTGCTCATGCACAGAGGAAGAACTGTTTAAAACTACAGACAAATGCGGTCACTATTGCCCGTTTTTGATCTAAAATTATTTAGCTGCTTGTGCTCCCTTTATTTTATCAATTTTATACTTATTTATTTATGCAATGCTTTTGACACGAAATAAAATAAATGAATTTAATTTTAATTCATATCTTGTAATCAAGACTATGAACTCTGTTAAACTAATTGTCTCACTCTTAGTGTTTCAAATACTCAACATTTTTCCAAATTAAGAATATGGAAGCTGAGATATTGGTTATGCTGAGAAAGATGAAGACAGAATACCACTTGATATTAATACATTAACACCATAATAAGTGTGGAGACGGAATTAAAAATCATAGATTCATAGAGTTGGAAGGGCCATCTCTAGCCTAACCTCCTGCCATTCCAGAACCTTTGGCTAAAAGCATTTCAGACCAGCAGCCAGATATCTAACTTCTATTTAAAATTCTCTAACAGGAGTCTCAAGAGTCTACCACCTTCCAAGGCATTCTGTCCCACTGGAGCCTTTGGAATTCTCAGCCAGGGAAGGCCTCCACTTCCCTAAACTACAAGCCCCAGAATTCTGCAGGAGGCAGCCCCACGATAGCCGCACAATTGTTTTTATAATAATGACATTTTAAACCCTTAAAGAGCATTGTGTTTTCATAAAACAAATGTTTTAAAAAATCATAGCAGTCACTTGACCAATCTTAGGCAAGCTGTGAAAATGGCGGTAGATATGCCATCTTCAGCTTGCAGGCCTGACATAATGACTGTTGCATTTTTATTGTTTGTTTTTGTCAAATGTACAAAACAAGATAGCAGTATAGCTAAAGGAGCTAAAGTGATTTCACCTAGCGGGATCAGTTTTCATTTGGTTGGACCCAGTAGTCAGAAGTGGATTTTCACTGTTGAAGCATGTGTGCCAAATACACTTGTTCATGGAGATGTTTGATTTGGCCGTGTTGACACATACCTAAGTTACATCCTGTTTAGATTGCTCTCATGCAATTGGTCTTAAAAGTGTTAAGGTGCTTCAGCTTGCCTAAAGAGCTGCATCCAGACAGTAAATCAGAGCCACTAACAAGGAGTAGCAACTCCCTTGTTATAACAGCTTTACTGGCTAACCTTGAACTGTATAGTATAAAAATATTGTGTGTATGTGGGGGCTCAAATACAGTTTCTGTGGTGAAAAGAAATACTGTTTTGTTTCATGTTAGAATTTATAATGTATGGAATTTATAAAGTTTTTACAGAGATTATCAAAGAGTTCAGCCATAAGCCTGTTTTATGGTTGAAAATTTTCCTCATTATAGCTAAACTGTTTATTATTTTAGTCCTCAAAAGAAATTCAGTTTAAAATCTTCATCTAGCACTTGAACTGAAGACAATTTTTACAATGATGGCTCTATATTACCTGTTTTGAACAGGACTCAGGGATTGATCACACTCAATTTAGGGGAGTAGGAGCTTTGCTTGGATCAAATGGAGTAGTCAAAACAAAAGGCACTTCACTTGCTAAAAAAAAGTAATAATATCTGGCTCCAGTTTTGAGGAGAGTCTTTGCACAAAACGCCTTCTCATGTCTTTTTTCTTTCTCTGTTTTGTCTCCCCCCCCCCCAACATACACTCAGTGAGAAGAACAGAAAACACCACCAACCATATTTGAATATCTAGTGGGTAGCTCAGTTTTCTAGCCATCAGGGTTTTAATTTCTCAAAGCATAACATCATCATACATAATCCCATTAAGATTATCTGGTGAAGCCCTGCTCTTGGTTCCACCTCCCTCGCGAGTGCGATTGGTGGGGACGGGAGACAGGGCCTTCTCAGTGGTGGCTCCTTGGCTATGGCACTCCCTCCCCAATGAAATTATATCTGCGCTCTCCCTCCTGGCCTTCAGAAGAAAAGTAAAAAATTTGGCTATGGGACCAAGCCTTTGGGCAGTAAGCAGTATAAGGAATGATCCGGGATTATGTCCAATAGACTACAATTGTTGGATTGTGTGATTTTAATGTTTGTATTGATATGTATTTAATTCCATGTTTTAATGTTAAATAATGTTGTGTTTTATGATTTAATTGATAATTGTATGTTATCATTATGTTACATTTCTGTATGTGAGGCATGAAATTTTGCCATAATTATGTGGGGGGAGAAAAGCGGTATACAAGTGAAGTAAATAATAAATTGAGCTGAACCAGAATGGCAAGAATTCCTAGATTTAACAATTGTCACAAAGTTCAAGAAAAAAAAAAGATGAGCCCAGGGCAGGTGTCAGAAATATGTTACAAGCATAAAGTACAGTTATATAGTGGCAAATATAAACATAATTAAGCCTTCACTTTTTCTTTTTCAGACAAGAAGCCCTTCTAGCTGCCATTAGTGAAAAAGATGCCAACATTGCTCTCTTGGAGCTATCGTCCTCCAAGAAAAAAACCCAAGATGAAGTCGCTGCACTAAAACGAGAGAAAGACCGCTTGGTGCAACAACTGAAGCAACAGGTAAGAGAACAGTAGACATTTCTAGTGTTAGGTTGAGTGGCATCGGACTGAGAGTTTTATGTAATTGTATTACTATCATAGAAAGCCTTGCCTGTGCAGGCTTGCCTATCAGAAATATTAAAATTAAACTAGATATTTTTAATTACAAAAATGTGAGTCAAGCACTGAGAGAGTTAGTAGGCTGAAGCCTGTTAGAGTCAGTGGGCCAAAGCTAGTGTCATCCTGAGGAATGTGAGGTAAACCTCTGTGTGAGAGAAGCTTTGGTGAAAGAAGCCCCAGGTTAAAGACCTTGTGTGTAAAGCTACTATGTGAAGGTCCTGTGTAATTCAGCATGAGAGGAGGCACTGTGAGAGCAAAGCTGTTTATCTGCATAAGGAAGAAGCCCAGCATGAAAGTAAAAAAGGAATTATAAAGGACTTTATTTGTGTTGTGAAAACTTTGTTGTTGTAAATAGTGCAACTATATTATTTTGTTGCAAGGAAAAGCCTCCTATGGAAGAGATAACATTGGTTTGTTTGTTTCTGTTCTTTTGGTTACTGGTGGTGGGTCACGCTGCTGCTGCTAAGTTACTTTGCTGCGCATTTATGTGGAGGGTCTTTTGTTAATAAGCCCACTTGCCCAACAGTGCCACCTGGCATCTGTATTATAATCTCTTCAATGCCCAACAATTCTGTCATCTCCTGTTGAGCTATTAGTGATACTTGAACAAACTTTTTGTTGGTATCTGCCTCTTCTATCCTGTGATTGATTGCCCTTATCACCTCCTCATGGGACCTCTTGAAGGTGATCTTCATGGAGGATGAAGATGGCAATGTAGCCATTGGAGTCTGGAATATTCACAGAGCAAGTTGTGCAGCGTTTGAATTTCGTTGTCAACATTCTGATGAAGAGCAAAGCTCTGTGGTAGCTGTGGTGGCAAAAAAAGAAGAAGAAGAAGAACTGAGGAGCCATCGGCCAGGGTGTCTTTTATGCCCTGGGGAGGAGTGCACAGATTTACTGGCAAAATTTGAAGCTAGAACTTGGAGAAGTTTTCCATTAGGATCTGTGCAGGCACAGTTAGACTCATATGTGTGAATTCATAGAACTACAAAGAATAACATGGGTTTATGAGTTATTTATCACACTATATTTACACATGTTTCAAAACAATGTAATAAAAACAATATCAGCCCCAGCACTAAATCTCAAAAAAACAAAACAAAACAAAAATCACACCAATCTGCTCTAGCTCCTCGCTTTATTCGTGGCCATCAATGTTTGTGCCCATTGTACAGGGAAAACACATCCTGGTTTTCACAGACAACACAACCACCATGTACTATATAAACAAACAAGGCGACATCAGATCAAGAAAGCTACTTGTGCTGATCATACATCTGTGGGAATGGTGCATTGCGCACAACATTCACCTGATGGCAACCCACCTGACAGGAAAACAGAGCAACCTGGCGGATTGCCTGAGCTGCTCAGGATCGACCTCCTATGAATGGAGACTGGCCCTTGAGAACTACACAAGATCATTGACAAGTGTGGTTCACCATCAGTAGACCTCTTCACATCCCAACAGAACCCCCAACTGAAACTTTTCAGATGCTGAGGGCTGTCTTGGAGATGTGTTTCTCCTTTCCTGTACTGGGAACTTCTTCTATGCCGTCCCTCCCCTGCCTCTGATATCAAGGGTAATCAAACAAATCTGTCTCTTCAAAACCATTTGCATCCTGGTGACTCCGGCATGGCTCAGGCAGATGTGGTTCCCCACTCTGATGCCCCTCTCTTGGGTTAGCATCATACTTTTCCGCAGACACCCTGCTTTTTCTTGATGTAAAACAAACAAGCCCTCCACCCCAATGTTCCTTCCCTTCACCTGATGGCATGGAGGATCCACTCTTAGTCGGCCTTTCGGAAGACCTCCATGCCATCCTGAGACCTCCATGCCATCCTGTTTCATAACAACCAAGACATTATCCTCCTGACCTTTTTTCAGCCCCCCTCCAATGCCCTCGAAGAAAAGCTCCATATTCTCAATGTCAAGAGGGCCTGACTCATCTATAAGGACAGGACTCAAGTGTTGTGCAAGACACAACACTTGTTTGTCTCCTACGCCCAGTCATCTGTGGGCCTTCAGATTTCCCTGCAGAGAAGCTCCCATTGGATTGCATTGGCAATCGACCTTGCCCATGAGCTGGCTCGAAAGCCTCCTCCCCTGGCCAGTCTGTAAAGTGGTCTACACCAGTAACCTTTGTCACACACTGGATTGGATTCTAGGGCATCCTGGGAAACTCCCTTTGGCCGCTCCATACTGATGGCTTGCATGGCTTAGAGACCAACCCATTTTCCCTCTATGATACCATTAAAGACTAGAGACAATTTCAGGGTACAAATCAATGTCTTTATTGTAAAAAAAGAAAAGAAAAAAAGACACGCGATGTGGTTTATCTGTGCTAAGTCAATCCTGTTGAAATGGTGTTGTTTCTTCTACTTTCAAATGCCTTGGCCGAATTCACTGTTCACCCCAAACTTGGTTTTAAGGTCCTCGAAACGTCATATAGCCCTGTGCACTTCATTGCTGCTCTTACCTGTAAAACAAAGTAAAAAAAAAAGTTTGGTTATACTGTCAAAAGTATGTGCTGGGTGCCTTGATGCTTGTTATATTGCTATTTGTATTGCTGACTGGACGGTTTATGTCCATATTGTTTGTAACACAGGTGTTCAGCCAGGCCTCTGGGTCTTTTCTTGCTTGATAAGACTTTCTCATTGCACTGCTTGCGACCTCTTCTGGTTGTTCTGCAAAGTTATGACTGCACTTTTGACCCATCTGTTCTGTGGCCAATAACTGGTTTACCGACTCAGTAAACTGAGTTCTGTTTTTGCACTACCTTGGTATCGGTTTGACATGTGTCCTGCCTTCCTGCACCTTAACCTGCTAGTCTCCATCTGTCTGTATTCACAGAGACCACGAAGAAGTTACGGGTTGTTTACCTGTAACTGTTTCTTCAAGTAATCCTCTGTGAATTCACACAATCCCGCCCATTCCTCCCCTCACTCATGCAAAACTCCTCCTTTCTAGCTGCTTGCAACTTAGGAATCAAGGACCCACCGGGCCGGGCACCTTTTATACCCTGGGGAGGAGTGGGCGGAGTTACCGCCAAAATTTGAAGCTAGATCTTGGAGAAGCTTTCGGTTAGGACTTCTGCAGACGCAGAAGTATGAATTCACATAGGATCACTTGAAACACAGTTACGAGTAAGCAACCTGTCCATAATAATGTCATATGAAACATTTTTAATACAAGTTATCTGATAGAACAGTAGATGACTGAAACTTGTTGGAGAGTAGAAATCTGTCTCAAGCCTCTGAGAGTGCATTAATGAAAAGGCTCTTAAAATAATCCTAAGAAGAACGGCTTCCCTACAGATGTATGCTGGCATGGAGAACCTATTGTTATGCTTATACAGGGTTATTACAAAAGGATGCCCTGATTTCAACATTTCATGGTAAACGTTTCAGTGAACACACACATATAAAACCTATATCAATGTGAAGGGGAAGTCTTCAAGTTTTTTTCCACACTCAAAGATGTTCAATATGGCTGCCACCAGTCGTGTACCACACATCTAAACAGTAGTCCAGTTCCTGCCACACATGTTGCAACATGTTGCAGTTAATGACACTCACAGCTCCGGTGGCCAGGTGATGTCTTCTTGCACAAACAGCCCATTTTGTTAAACTGTGTGAACAAGCGTCTAATCACCTTTCCATCTGGCGCCGCTTTCTAAAAGCCTGTTGCATTGTAACTACAGACTTCATGCTTTGAAACTGTAGGACACAGAATGTCTTCTGCTGCTGAGTTGCAGCTATTTTGCCTTACCAGATGTGCAAACACTGCCTGCTCATGCAATTACCCCACCAGGGAGGCACATATGAGTGTGCATATATCTTGAAGACTTCCCATTCACATTGTTGTAGGGTTTATACATGTATGTTCACTAAAACATTTACCATGAATTTTTGAAATCGGGGCATTATTTTATAATAACCCCAATTTCTGGTCATTCTGTTGCAGTAATGAAATTAAGAATACTAGAAAATGTATGTTATCTTGTAGTAAATCACCTGTGAGTAAATATGAGAGTCTTGTATATGCAGTCTTTTATTTAAATGTTGAGCTAAACTAGGAGATTTATTTGGAAAATTGTTTTGTCCTATGTTTTGGAATTCTTCTTAATTTTGTTGTTGTTTATCTCAAGAAAGAGAATACTCTTCAGCATTAGTTGGGGGGGGGGCTTCCACTCAAATGGAAAAACTTTTAACTTATCTTGTTTCTTGAAAAGATACAGATATTTTCAGGGGGGAAGCTACCCAATTACCTCCTTTCTCCAGCTAATACAAACAATGTGTTATTTTGAAGGAAAGAATCAAAGTCTATATTTAGAGAACTGGAGAGATCAGTTAAAGTATTATGAATGAGTTTTGGCTAACTAATGACACTATCGGAGCTTTTTAAAATTAATTAGTCAGAATGTCAGCCATAGCTAACATTTTGAGTCCTCGGCCATCATACTACCATCATTTTTCTTCAATTTTGCTGCTGTTATACTTAAATATTATGTTGCCAAAGGCGGTAGATTGGTGCCAAAAAATCCTTTCTATAAAAAAAAAATTTCCTCAAAAGCACTAGTGCTCCGATAGCTGTGGCTTTTCACTTAACATTTAATAATGAAATAAAATGTTTAAAGTTTTCTCAATTAAGATCTTTTTCCAATAGTTAAAACTGACATTAAAGTAAGTCAGAAGTCGGTTTTAACATTTTTGTAATATTCAACTTTACTGGAAGAGTAATAAATGCTGTCACTCTATAGCAAGATGACTGTATAACAACAAAAGCCTTTGAACCCAATTTTAAAGTAGAATGCATAATCTGGTTTCAGCATGCTGATGAAATGCTCCATGGCATTTGGTATTTGAATTTTTTCTCAAAAATATGAGGAGGGGAAAGAATT